CTCCTGCACGTAGGGAACTGGCTTCACTATTCTGCACAGGTAGACAATGCAGAGTGATAGCAGTATTTCAGTAGTGACATCCCAGGTCCTTACCCCATTCTAGCACTGGCAGTATATCACAAAGGTCTGTTCAAAATTGCCTGCCTTTATAGGCTATCAATAGAAATTCAAGAGCATCTTTTAAGTGCCAGTTAGGATGACCACAATGATCAGTTATTCCTACCTGAATATAGAATATTTTTACTAGCACGAGCTTTCCTTCTAGCTCAGACAATGGGAACAGAGTTGTAAAAGTTTCCACAGGCAGGGGAGGAGGCTGATTTTGGAACATGGAGCATCACAGAGGTCAGGCCTCCCTGGGCAGCTAAAAGACAGTCCTGGGCTCCTGGGGAATAGAAAAGAGCTGGGCTAGGCTGAGCATAGTGGCTCATACCTGTAATCCTAGCACTCTGGTAGGCTGAAGCAAGTGGATTGCTTGAGCCCAAGAGTTGGAGACCAACCTGGGAAACACAGTAAAGCTCTGTTTCTACCAAAACAAAATACAGAAAATTAACCAGCCTTGTGGTGCACACCTGTAGTCCCAGCTGATCAGGAAGCTGAGGTGGAAGGATTGCTTGAGCCTGGGAAGTTTCATTGAGCTGAGATTGTGCCACTGCACTCCAGCCTGGGCAACAGAGCAAGACCCTGTCTCAAAAAAAAGAAAGAGAAGAAGAGCACTCCTGAAAATTCAGGGGTCAGCAAGGACAGAGGGGGAGAGAGCACTGAAGATATACTTTCTCTCCTTTGCAATTTTGCCACAGGCCACAATGCTGCCATGCACCATTGGAAATTGTCAAGAGTGGCATCCCATGAATTGGTAAGATTCAGGGAATTCAGTGCAATAAAAATCACAGAGCACTTTTCCTTTCCCGAGAAGTTGATCTACCTTGAGATTTTGCAAAAGAGCTCAAGAACACAAAATGCCAACTTAGTAAAAGTTGAAGCATCTATTATTTCCTTTGACAGTGCCTCTTGGACAAGGGAGACCAAATCCACCCAGGCTTCCCAGGGAATTGGCTGCCCCCAATCAAGCCGATGGCAGAGGCTCCCACACCATCTTACATTGCACCTTTATCTCATTTTAACATTCATTTTAAGACTCATTCATAGCCAGAGCAATCAGGCAAGAAAAAGAAATAAAGGATATTCAAATAGGAAAGGAGGAAGTCAAATTGTCTCTATTTGCAGACGACATGATTATATATATAGAAGACCCCATCGTCTCAGCCCAAAATCTGAAACTGTTAAGCAACTTCAGCGAAGTCTCAGGATACAAAATCAATGTACAAAAATTACAGGCATTCCTATACACCAATAACAGACTTAGAGCCAAATCAAGAATGAACTGCCATTTACAATTGCTACAAAGAGAATAAAATACCTAGGAATACAACTAACAAGGAACATAAAGGACCTCTTCAAGGAGAACTACAACCACTGCTCAACAAAATAAGAGAGGACACAAACAGATGGAGAAACATTCCATGTTCATGGTTAGGAAGAATCAATATCGTGAAAATGGCCATACCGCCCAAAATAATTTACAGATTCAATACTATCCCCATCAAGCTGCCAATGACCTTCTTCACAGAACTGGAAAAAAACACCTTAAACTTCATATGGAACCAAAAGAGAGCCCACATAGCCAAGTCAATTCTAAGCAAAAAAACAAAGCAGGAGGCATCACACTACCGGACTTCAAACTATACTACAAGGCTACAGTAATCAAAACAGCATGGTACCAGTACCAAAACAGAGATAGAGACCAATGGAACAGAACAGAGGCCTCAGAGGCAACACAGCATATCTATAACCATCCAGTCTTTGACAAACCTGACAAAAACAAGCAATGGGGAAAGGATTCCCTGTTTAATAAATGGTGTTGGGAAAACCAGCTAGCCATGTGCAGAAAGCAGAAACTGGACCCCTTCCTGACACCTTACACTAAAATTAACTCCAGATGGATTAAACACTTAAACATAAGACCTAACACCATAAAAACCCTAGAAGAAAATCTAGGCAAAACCATTCAGGACATAGGTGTAGGCAAGGACTTCATGACCAAAACACCAAAAACATTGACAACA